GACACTGGAAGTGTTGTGTCCATTATTGCATACCCAAATCTAACTGCATTCTAACACAATGTAGTGGTAGTGTCTACAGCTGTTATTATTCGCGGTATCACTGAACGTTCTGTACCTTTAGTTGGTAGTTGCACGATTTCTGTGAGGTTATTCCAAGAGACCTCTATCGATTGTAATTTTTGGGTTTCAACGTCGAAACCATCGATTATCGGACTCAAAAATCTGTGCTCACTGCGAACTAGCATGACATTACTGACTTCTGTGAATGAGAATTAACTCCAACAACTGGTTCTTAAATGTTCTAAGGCTACAGGTGGCATGCGAATTCCCAAGGTGAGGCTCGAAGTTACAGGAGAGCCTATATTTCTTAAGAGACGAATTATTCCATTTGGCTTACGCGAGCCTGTTCGTCAAGAATTAAATTCAATGTGTGCGAAAGGAACACTGACTCCCGTCGAATCATTGAAGTGGGCAACTCCGATGGTTACCTCACTGAAGGCTGATGCTATTGCTTCGAGAATTTGTGGAGACTGCCTGCTAAAGCTAACTACGCGGCTACTACAACGTACATAGCCTCTAGTAATCTTTCCGTGATTAGCACACCTTTTGGGTCATTCCGATAAGGTTTCCTTCTCTTTGATCTGAATGTTTCACCAGCAGTGTCCAAGAAATTATGATTACTTCACAAAAGTTTTGTAGGGTGTTGAGACGTATGAAGATGATATCATAATGCAGGTTGTTGATAATGCTGCCCTCGAGATGCGTCTGTTGTCTTTACAAAGGCGATTTTATCAGTTCAGCGTAGCTATTCACTCCAATAAACGCACTTTTAACGTTCCATCATTTTCGTGTCTTAGCTAGATTTTGGATGCCAGTAGATTCAAACCCGATACAAACCGTCTATCTCTTTTAACAAATGCACAATCACCAAACAATTTTAAAGAACCGCGTTCAGTCCGAGAAGCACTTCGGCATTGCCCTCGTTCTATTCCTAATTTCGGTAAACATATTGGGTGCCTGCTTTGTCACACCTGCCAATTAATTTTCTTAGTCAGCTTCAAACTTCAGCCATTTTGAAAGCATTTTCTGTCAAACATCATTCGACCATCATTACCCATGCCTCTCCCACTGGAATAAGAGCAACACCTAAACACATGCCAGACCGGCGATCTGCATTTCCCATCCACATTCAAAAGCCAAACGTGGGTATATTGAGAAGCACCCGCGGTATATTAGGATGTCAAATGGCTCCATAATTATCATTAGGATCAAACTTTACCAGTGCTACTGATAACGAGGGTTTAAAATTCTTGTATCATCCAACAAAATATTAGGCGAAGTCATCTGCAACTACGGTTCAACATATGATTATTGCAGCGCGTTCGTATACCTATAGGATCGTTCGTCCTAGCGCAAAAAAAATCATTCTTGTCAAGAATTTCATTACGCGACACCTATTCAAACAATTCACATTGTTGATTGATTCAAACTACAGCAGTTAAGCGGAGCGCACTTGTCGCTGATACTTAAAAAATTTCCCTCCCAGTTTTTTGCACTGTGATGTGGCTGGACTCAACAAGAGAGACGCCAGTTTCCCGCTAGTACTTTTGACGCGAAAGTTTGTCCATTACATTGGATGAATCGTTATGCTTTGGGGATTGACTTATCATTCCACCGACTCAGCGAGCGGCTGTTCTGACAGATTTACACTCTGGTCATATGGGTGTGAATAAAATGAACTCTCTGGCACGCTTGTCATGCCGGTGGCCGAAACAGAATGTTCACGTGAAGTGTACTGTTAAGATACGTGTTAAATATGCACAAAAAGTTCGCAGTAAGTCTTCACAGTGGTATCCATTGCCAATTGCATATGAAAAATTTTAAAGAGTTCATCCTGACTGCCGAGGTCCTTTTGTCGGTAAATTCAATGCCTTAGCTGTTATTGAAGCATATTTAATTTGGCCTGAAGTTTTTCTAACTAGGTCTCCAAATGCCGAATTCACACAACATGAATTGAGTAAAGTTTTCAGCCATGAGGTTGTACCAACTGTTTTGGTCACTGAGAATGACACACACTCCACTGCAAAATTCCTCGAGCAATGGTCAAAAGTTCTTGGATATCGACATCCTTTTACTGCTCCACGACACCGCCAGTCGAATAAGCTGGTTGAGAATTTTGTCCGCTGTTATTGTCTGCTATTATTCCATTCTCTCCTACTTCTTTTGCGGAATTGGTCCGTGAAATTGATAATTTTTTAATGCGATACAGGAATGGCGCTAAATTCGTTAGTGGGAAGAGTCCCGCGCTTCCACTTAAGTCTCGCCCGTCGCGTACAAGTCTTGACTGTACCAAAACGGCTGATGTTACCTTTTCCAAGGGTAACGATTTATGGCCTGCCACGAGAATAATACTATCATCAAATGGCAAACGTATGGTCACCATTCTCGATTTGGATGATCTCTCTTGATCGTGTTGAGTTCATTACCAGCGGTCAGCAGGTTAACGACACTCCTGTTCTTTCAGATGCTGGTAAATCCTCTGTAGATGATCTCGTGGTATCCAAACAAAGCTTTACATTTCAAGAGAATATTAACTGCGAAGAACCTGAAATTCTTGAATCGAGAAATCCCAAAAGATTATGATCAAGACTACCAACGAGCTATCAGTGTCCGCCAGCTCATTCAAGATGTTGCGGATGTGATGTACATGATTGAAATTCTCTTCGTCGCTCTACTCATCATTCGTTTGTTTTAATATTCCAAGTGCTGCACACATAGGTAAATTCGAGTACATAGGTGCTACTTGTCACGCTGTGCTGAATTCTGATTTCTAGTGCTCTACTCATCATTCGTTTGTTTTAATATTCCAAGTGCTGCACACATAGGTAAATTCGAGTACATAGGTGCTACTTGTCACGCTGTGCTGAATTCTGGATTTCTAGTGCAGGACTTTATAATACACTCAGTAATAATTGTTCCCTCTAAGGAAAGTCGTCATTGGCCCAGGTTGTTGAATAAGAAATAATACAATCATGGCTGTCCAAGAGTATTCTCACGAACAGTCCTCACTACTAGATTCTGAAGATAGTTCGAAATATTGCGATACCCGACTTAGCACATAAGTTCCGTGAATGAACAGTGTAAGCGCGGGTGAAATTAGATGAGAGTAGAGGCACGTGACCACGTTTGTATTTCGGTAAATTGTACGAGTGCTCGTTTTGTAGCATTGCGCATCAAAAGAAAAAACCTTTATGCAATTGGCGAAATAAGTAATAGTATGATGCAAACCAAACTGGGATACAAAGCGTCGCATTTTATTTAGGAGATCCTTTCATGATACTGGCTGATATGATCGTAAAGGTGGATGCTACTGATGAGACGCGAGAGTGGTACGTATTCTCATAATTTCGTTCCGCGTCTATTGAAAAGTGAGTGTTATTGTGGAATTAGTGGAATCGCTTTGTTGCGTCTGTTTGCAATCGAGCAATAGTCTGTGAAAATCCAGTAAAGTTCAGGTAGACGCATTCGATAAGAGATGTTCAGATTCTATAATCAAGATGTATGTGAGGGTTCTGCTTCCGTGTCGAATAGTCTGTAACTGTTCAGTTGGTGTTTTATAATAAACAACTTTACGGTGAAAGCCTTCATCGTTTCACTACGACAGAACGCAGTAGTCGTGTCCAATACCAACGTCTAAGCTCGAAAGTCAACAATCTTTGAAATCCCGCAACTCGTCCTGTTTGCAATTGCCTGGTAATTTATTTATCAACAATTCATTCAAACACCTAATAGGAAGACGATGGTGTCGGTGCTCGCGCAGAAGCCGTACGTACTACCATGCCACGAACAGGCAGATGGGACCCGTTAGCCGTATAATGCTCTTTGTTGCAAATGCAAGTGAAATGTCACGTTTCACATCTTGATTGTGCATTTAATCGGGCCTCTGCTAACATATAAAATCATCTCAATCAATTTCCGTGTTTGTATGACCCTGGAAGAAAAGTGTGGCAGAATATTTTCGCGACATTCCTGAGATCTCGGGACGCCTAGATGGGGCATAGAAATTTGGACCAGTACTCTGAGCTCAACTACATGTTTATGTTGGTCAATGAGGGACACGCCGTTCCTTTCAAAAGTTCAATTCAGTTCGCAAAAACTAATGCCATCGAAAAATTTCAGACAACAGGTGTATGGATAAGTATTTATGTGACTGAGGAAACAATGCTCCAGTTTGCTGAAAACTCCTATGCCGATGAGATTCTGGCCCCCTCTGTTTGAAAATTGTCCTTCTCACTACACCATGAGAGATCGGCCCAAAAGGAATTCGCCATTTTACGGATGGTCCGACGCACCTTCTCCCGTATTACTCGCATGGACTTCTAAATACTATATGGGGCCGATCCTGGAGTGCGCTAACCGAGTTGTCTACTCAGGACGTACGAAAGACGTCACCCTCATTGAGCGTATCCAGCAGGCCGCCACTAGAATGGTTGCCGGCCTGAAATCCGTGGCCTACGAAACGCGTCTCGCGATGGTTGATCTCTTTCCCCTGGAGTACCGTCGCCTTCCAGGGACCTAGTTCTTACTTACGCCCTGTTTGAACAAAGCTTGGCAAACAGATTTTTTACCGTTGACCCAGCAAACACCCGGCGGGGACATAGTAAGAACATTTTCAGGCTGTAAAACATGCTGCCACGTGTTGAGAACATAAAGAGCAGTGCTACGTCCCTTTATCACTTGTGTCTTTCGGGTGAACGACAGCCGCTGAACGACAAGAACAAAACCGACCCGGGGAACTTGGGCAAAAGCCTCGATCCTGTGTATCAATCCGTGAATCCGTGAATGAACTACGCGGAACTTATGTGCTGGTGCTCTCAGTTGACCTAAAGCGCGCGATCCTTGAGGTGTGAATTCATTTACGATGTACTGTGTTTCTGACGTAAAATAACCAGGATGACGTCTGATGAAACGTTATACACTACTATTGAGCTATCTATATCATGCAGGTGATGTCAATAACACCCCTCTTATGTGCATTTATTAGAAACTTATGTGATACTGACATCCTTTCTAAATCTGATCCACGTATGTCGAATTCTTTTGTCAACGTATTCAGCAGTGGTTGTTGTTTTCGAGAAAACGCATGACAATTCCTGGAGAGAACTTGGTCGAACAGAAGTTATTCAGAATACACTCAATCCGGATTTTGTTAAAAAGATAGTAATTGAGTATCATTTCGAAGAACAGCAACGACTGAATTTTGCTGTGTACGTATTCGACGAGTTTAATTGATTTACCTGTAGCTACGATGTCGACTGCTCTTCTGATAAACTTGAAAAACACGTGCGTTTCCATTAAAATCGGCTACGGCGTTCTGACTTGTTCTAGGATTTCCTAGGTAATTGTGAAGCAACACTAGGGGAGATTGCTTCGTCATGGAGAGTGATGAAACCTTTAAAGTGAGTTTACGGTTCCTCATAGTAGTGTATACTAAGGAACGGTCCTGCTGAAAAGTGTGGGTCCATCATAGGTGAGTACTGATTTGAAGCTAACTCACCTTTCAAATAGTGATTGCTGATGAGGTTTCCTCCTGCAAGGTAAACATTGACGTCATTTTTCGAATTATACGGCTATCAGGATGAGCTTATCCTGGATATTTCTGGCAAGGGTTTGGACAGAAAAGACCTTTTCGGCAGTTCGGATCCTTTCCTAGCATTTTATCGGATAAATGAAGACGGAAGGTGAGTTGCCCACCTCAGGTTCGATGACCCTGCGTGACACTTTTGTGAAAGATCCAGCCACTACTCCCACACAACACCTTCATAGCGGCCCTAATGCTGACTCCCGTGACATCTTGCTACACTGCCCATTTTACTACCGAAACAGGCCCTCCTAATATCCAACGTTGAGCCGGCTTTTGTGTGTTGTAGAACTTTCGCTGTCCGAATACTGGGGGTGGACCAGATGAATCTGAGCATGACCTAACTTCAGACGTAGGATGCACATACAATAGGTGCAGTAGCTTTCCGACGAAACTTCTAGTCATGTTCTCAACTACAAGCGGGACACAATTTCGCCTCTGTCGCTTCTCATGGTATACCTGTATCACCTAACAACTCGTGTTGCAACTAATTCGCTACAAAGCTACACTCCAGTCGCGCTCGTTGTGATGCTCACTTTTAATTTGAACCATGAGTAAGAGGAGGTGCAAACTTTCATAATGGAGGGATACATACTTGCGTTTGCAGTATAGAGTGCGTTCACAAAAGTTTTGTTTTCTATTTAATCAGGATAGGGTCATCTTACCATCTGCATAGCTGGTGTGTTGTACTCAGTTAACATGTGGCTCACTTCTGTCAACCTTTTTAGCCTCGAATTTTGCGGGTTGTTTGTATTATTTCAATAAACCTAGTGTTGAATTCACTAAAAAGGTTTTCGATTTAAAGATGACACTAAAGTGAATTCAGTGGTTTATAAATGCATTAACGTTAGCAGTTTTCAAAACATGCATTCAAGGTATAATCAAGGACAAAATTTTTTGCATGGCTGAAAAGCTCGTGGGCACTAGTGACATGGTGACAAATGGGAGTATACCTACAACATCTTGAATAATAAAGCGCGGGAACTGTTTTTTACTCAAAGGTATCGATGTTTCATGAGGAACTTCAGCTTCATATGTTTAGTGTGTCAAGTCGATGTGTATAAATTGTCAAAGACGGTAAGTTTCAGACCTTTACGACAAAGCTTGTGTTAGTGAAAACACCTCCATCATGGTAGATTTTTCTTATAATATGATATGCTCAGTGTTTTTTAATTGTCCTGCTCAGCAAACAATCCAACGGCCACATAATTCCGATTCAACCCAATATATTTCCTACCTAGAGGTAGGCGCCGTTTTGGTCGGTACATAGACCTTAGATATAATAGCACCAGCGTATCAATAAATCTGCGGTATGTGGTATGCTCAGTTTAGAATCAAAGTGCGCTAACACTCGTGGGCGCCCTTATCAACGCGCATCAACTACCGATTGTTCCTCACTGCTACTGGGTCATCTCATCGGAATCGGAGCTCTCTCGAACGGCGCCTTTGCGCAGATAGGAGTGTGGTAAAACTAAGTGGTTTGAGAGGCGAAGACTAGCGCAATCGATTATTCACAAAGGCTGTTCGAACCCTGGAGACTCTCTGTTAGTGGGATAATAAATGGCAACATTAACTATTAAACATGACAGAGGGCAAGGTTTCAGTTGCCCCCCACTCAATGCCTCCGTCCTCCGTGCGAACCGATCGAATCGAGCGTGGTTTGCATCATCTCCCTGTTCGAACCCTGGAGACTCTCTGTTAGTGGGATAATAAATGGCAACATTAACTATTAAACATGACAGAGGGCAAGGTTTCAGTTGCCCCCCACTCAATGCCTCCGTCCTCCGTGCGAACCGATCGAATCGAGCGTGGTTTGCCTTTTATCATCTCCCTTGTCCGTGTGGTATTGGTGTCTTTGCATTGCAATGCCACTGCAGGACTAACTGAACTATCAACAGCAATACTTAAAGACCGTAGGTTTTCCTTGTATGACCACATTTTCTGAACTTGTTTGAAAGCAAGAACGAGCGTCACAAGATTTAAGTGAGCTAATCTTTGTGGTTTTTTCAAGAAGCGCTCAAAGCAGCTGTTGTAATCATGGGGTTACAAACCTAATAGTGATCATAACCTGTTTGCTAATCTCCATGATACTTCGACACTTGGCTATCGCACATGGGGCGCCAGCTGGAGAGCATCAAACAGGGTTTAGATCAGGTGTGATGTGCATTGATCACGTGTTTACAGTGCTCCAAAGCATTAACGATGTCACGTGTATGGCCTACCAACAGCCGAGATTTTCCTTGACTGTGTAGCTAAAGAAGCACTTCCAAATACACTCACAAAATCGGACGTCCAGTATACTCCTTGCTCCGTATGCTAACACTCATGTTCCTTTCGGAGACTACAATAAATTATCCAAACGCCTTCCTACAACCGATGGGTCCTGCTCCAAGTAATCCCTTGTTTTGGCACGCGTTTCGCACTTTTACAGCCCTCTTGTGTCTTCCTGATACTCCGATGTGAAAGGGTCTGATATTCCTAACCGGTTGGTCTATCTTAGCAGCTGCGTAAGCCACAATTGTACTGTGACAGATGTAATTCATGTGGGCTCGCATGTGACGCCAAAATTCTGAAGGAAGTTGTAAGCATAGCACTTTTTGGATGAGAAACCTGATTTCCTCAGCCTGTTAAGAGGTACGGATGTTCCAAAACGGGTACTGTTGTCCATCGTATCTCACTGAAGTACGCCCATAAAACCTGCCACTAAGGAAGTCCCATTCGCAAACTTTTCATAGCCGAGGTGTTTTAACTCAATTGAAAGGGCTAACGTGGGTACTAGGCCATGCAACCTAGTTGACGGCTTATTCGTTGTTCATCTGTTCTAAAGCAGCAACGGCGAGATGATTAAGCTCCGGTGAGTGGGTGGATGCGATTACATTCTAAAACCCTACTGTCATGCTGGCGTCACTGAGTAACTCTTCTCTTCATATTTCCCTGCATTTTGTTGGCTCGACCCAAAGCCGTCACCCTTTCATGGTGATCGGGCTTCTGTGCCGCAATGATCCTGCAGGCTATACTTGTTGGAACTCAGTTACTACAGGTTCAACCATGCTTGGAAGATCAACGGTTGGCAGCCCGACGAAGAACAGCGAGTACACCTACTGAGAGTAATCGTATTACGGGGTGGTCTGGAAGTAAAGTCTTACTGTCCTATGCGATAGGGGTGTGAAGGCAGCAAGGCATTTCCCCCAGGCGACAGCATGTCCATATTTATGGAGGCAGCGACTCTGTCTTCTGCGAGGTAGGACGAGTTAGAAAGGTCGGCCCTAGAAACTGCAGACTCTGATCGTCCAACGATTGACCGTGATCAATGGCACGTCATTCAGTACGGTCGAAATACTCTCAAAATCAGAGTCCGGTGCTGCTCAAAAGGCATCTGCTGTGCGCAGCCGCATCAGGTTGGGACAATAGTACTCCACTCCCTACATCCTCTGGCCAGGCTGGTCCCCTATAGCTAAGTGGGTTAGACTATTGAGTCATTGGCTCCTGGAAGGGTCCCCCATTAAAACCCTCACCACCACCACTGTCCCGCGGTTCAGACTCTTGAGTCAGAGGCTCAAGGTGGGGTACCTCAACTCAACTCCTTACTTCGGCCTGGGCAACCGGGAAGTATCAATTACCCTTGCAGCTCTTCGCTCACCTACCTTCCCCTCATTCCCTCCCAACCCATCCTACAATGCAGTGCAATCAACCCATCTGCCCATCTCCTAGTCACTGTTCCGTGTCTCAACCATCGCCCAGAAAAGTGAACTAAAATAATCACCTACTAACCTCAAAAGGTCTGATCCACGTTGCAGCCTTTGATCACCGTACTCTATATCAAATTGAGCGACAGGCGTCCCTTGCTAAAATTTTACTTTCCCGCTCTATCGGTGTATGTTGTTTCTCCGAAACACGCATGCAAGACCCCACTTCGGTCGTGCTCCTCAAGCCGCTCATGACGAGCCCAGATGTTCCACATTTTACTCTTCGGGCAATTGCTCTTGGTATCTACGCTGTGCGAGTTGCACTCAGTTCCGAGGCTGAAAGCGCTTTACCGGACTGGATCCCAGTAAACAGTCGTCCTTGCGCCGTGCGGTTGTCTGGCCAAATGAGGGTCAATATGGATCGATGCGGGAAACGACTTTTGTTTGTCGCATCAGCAAACGCCCCAACAGATAGCAGTTCTGAGACTGAGAAGGACGAGTTTTATCAAGATCTGCCACGACTGATCCGGTCAGCAAGAAGGATGGATATAGTAATCCTGGCGGGTGACATGAATGCCCAAGTTGGACGACTAAGCCAGAAGAAGCTCAGTTAGGTGGTAGATTTGGAGTCGATGCTGAGCGTACGGACAATGGAGGGCGGCTTCTTCGATTGTGTGCAGATCATATCTGCTCCTGGCCAGCTCGAACTTCCAACGCAAACACACACCGAGTTACTTGGAAGCCACCTACCACAAGACAGTCGTGGACTCATTGGACCATATGGCTATCAGCTACCAATGGAGAGCCTCATTTAAGGGTTGTCGTCCCTTCTGGTGTAGGGGACATGGCTCTGATCTCGTCATCGTGTGGGCTAGGTTAGCCCTACGCATGCCAAATGAGAGCAGCTCCGTCCATCAACTTCGCCAAGTTTCAGTAGCTGAAGAGTATGGGGCTCCTACGCGCAGAGGACATACGGAAGATGTCAGTATTTGATCATCGGTGTCTCCGCACCACTGGTCAGGTCTGGTGGAAGCAGTAATGCTGAGGTACACCAGATGCTGTAGGAAGAAGGAACTCACGCTTCATAGGTTGCGCTGATTAGGATATGTACTATGCCTGCCATAAGACCGCATGCCTTACAGAGCTCTTTTTTCCCAGCACTGTGCTGATTGGAAGCGACTGCGAGCTGGAAAGTGTATGATATAGCAATGAATTAGGAAAACACTAATCATTAAACTTACTCGGGTGGGAAACTGCTGCCTCTTTGAATGGGGACCCCAGGACTCAAATCTGTGCAGCCCATCATTATACATCAGCATACTTCTTTGTTTTTTGGGCCGCTTTTTTCTGTTCATCTTTAGTTACTGTGGGCAACCCCCATTATTGAGATTAAGCCACGTAATGATGTGCTAGAGGTGTATTGCTTCGAATGGTGATGTTGACGTTGATAAACTTCATTAAGTCCCATTGTTCATCAGTAGAACGCTGGCTCCCAGGTATGTGACGAAGCGACCACAGAGTTCGTCGGTGAGTCTAGTATGCGACAAGGCTACCCACTTCCACAAACTGTTTGATTTGGCGACTCTGAAAACTGCACTTCCTCATCGGCCAATGGTTGACTGTGACCGCCGGCGCATCATTCAATACGATCTGAATGCTTTTAAAACCAGGGGATCTAGTACTGCTCAAAAGCACCTGCTATGCGCAGCCGCAGTAGGAGTGAGATAGTAATGACTTACTCGCTGCGTCCTCAGAAAAGCCTGGCGTGTTACAGAAAAGTGGGTCAAAGTATTGACTCGTTGGCCCGGGAGAGTGTCCCCAACAAAAGGCCAACTGCTGCCTCGTGGTTTGGACTTTTGAATCAGAGGCTTAGGGGCGCGTTACGCAAACAAAACTCTACATTCCCCCCACCGCCTTGTGGTTCAGAATTATGAGTCAAAGGCCCAAGGTGGGGTATCTCAACCAAGCCCCCTTTTTTTGCTGAGCAACCAGAGTGAGATAGTAATGACTTACTCGCTGCGTCCTCAGAAAAGCCTGGCGTGTTACAGAAAAGTGGGTCAAAGTATTGACTCGTTGGCCCGGGAGAGTGTCCCCAACAAAAGGCCAACTGCTGCCTCGTGGTTTGGACTTTTGAATCAGAGGCTTAGGGGCGCGTTACGCAAACAAAACTCTACATTCCCCCCACCGCCTTGTGGTTCAGAATTATGAGTCAAAGGCCCAAGGTGGGGTATCTCAACCAAGCCCCCTTTTTTTGCTTGAGCAACCAGCTGCTCTCTTTCAGCAAAACTTCTGGAAAAACCAAGCGAGCCTGAATAGAGCATCGGCCTGAGCCCGCCATTAACAACAGAAATCCAGTGTGAGATATCACTCCTTCAGCGCGACAAGGCACGTTGCCCGGATGAGCTGCACCCCGCGCTTCTGGTGAGGTCTTGGTGAACAGTCCGATGACCGTACCGCAGAAGATTTGGAAGAAAAACAGAAACCCAGTCGAATGGAACCCCTCGATCGTCATACTAGTCTTCAAAAAGGGTGCAAGGACGTCATGCGGAAGCTATCGTAGTATCAGCCTGGTATCCGGTGCATCTGGCATAATTTTGCGCAGGTTGATGGATTATCGGAAAAGACATTCGTGGGAATCAGGCTGGGTTTCGCCCTGGCCATAAATGTATCGATCATATCTTTACCTTCAAACACCCCACTATTTCAGTCTTTCCAATTCGGTCGTTTTTACTGATCCGAAAGCTCCTTTTGACTTTTTCGATTGTCATAAACTTTAGCAGTGTCTGGCTATAAAGGTGTCCCCTTCAAATTTATATCCCTTATGATTGCACCGTATGCGAAATCCTGTGAACGGGTATGGGCGCACGGCAAGCTTTCGCCTGAGTTCACCACGTCTAGTGGTTTGAGACGAGTATCTCGCCTTTCCTTTTCAACTGGGTTAGCAATGCGCTGCTTGAAATTTCTCCGCCTGCCACCGAAAGTTTAGGAGTCGAAGTGCTTCCATGATATTCGCTCACAAACACTGAGTATGCGGACGATATTGCTATCCTTGGTTTGGATCTTTTAAAAATGCAAACCGTTTTGAACAACTTAATTTTACTGTGCGGTTCGGCCTGCGCTTCACACCTGCAAAGTGTAAAGTACTGCTACAAGACTGGGTTGGATCAAACCCAAACCTCATGCTTGTAGATGAGCTACTCAACGTGGTAGGTATGTTGCTTGCTCTGTACTGGCTGGAGATGGAACTACTTCTTTAATCGGGAAGGCCGGCGCAACTTTTGCTTAACTTCTGCGCTTATGGCACCGACTTGACGTCACTTCGTTTGTCCTGGACAGATTCTGTACTGAGACTGCGCGATCCACACTGCTTTATAAATCAGAAACTTGGCCTGTAAGCGGGTGGATGTACGGAAACATTCAGTGTTTGACCGTCGGGGTCTCCGAAGCATTAGTCGGGTGTGGAGGAAACATCAGGTTATCAATAGTTAAGTACGCCAGATGGTTTTAGGGAGAAGTAACTCTTCCAAGGTGGATGGGTTTTTCATGCTTTTTATGTACTCTGTATGTCAGAGGACTGTCTGCCTCACAGGGCTCTTTGCTCATCCTTTTACTGAGTGAAAGCTACCGACGTCCACAGTGTATGATCTGACAGAGAATTATGAAATCTATCGGCTTTACAAATGTCGTGTCCCTGGATGGAGAACCCGATAGCTCAGCTCATCGATGGTTGGTGACACTGGCAGGCATGGCTCAATGCCACACTGAATCGATGCTATCCTCTTCAGTATTTGGCTACATAGCTTCCCATTCCCCCTGATCAGTATACATTGCGAATTAACTGATCATACGGTCACTTCGTATTAACCAACTCTGTTCTGTTTTACAGTGATCGAAACTGTAGTAGCTAGTTTTTATGTGATAGAATAAACTGGACGGCTAACGATGCAGGGTTGCAATTCGATGTTTCACCCGACGGTTTCACAAACTGCAATCGTTGTTTGAAAAATCGTTTAGCTGTGTCACCCTTTCGGTACCCAGCAGTCGTGGCAACGGAAGGGTGCACGAGAGCTGGGACACTGCTAGGTTGCTCAAACTCAAACAGGAGCAGTTGAGATGCTAGAGTTTGGCTCGAGCTGCTTTCCGGTTCGTAAGCCGGCGCCTTGACCGTTGAGCTATCTCGTTGTTGTTTCGGGCTCTGGTTTGAGATTTTCAAGGGACGTCGGTCGATACAATCAATAGTGCTTTGCTTCAATATGATGTTGAGATTTGTTTATCTTCTTGCTGTTACAGCGTTCAGACACTGCTCTTGATCTGTCCCTTTAAGGATGTATTACTTTTTCACTCCTATTATCTTATTCCTTGAACTTTTTCCTAGTGCTTTCTTCATGGCCGTGTATGTATGTATCACAAGTTACTAACACTGCTTTGTTGTCGGTCAATGATAATGATGTTGATGACGATGTTGGTTGTGGTGACTTATCCTGAAAAAATCTGGTAGAGTCTGCACTTAGAGTTGTTTGCTCCTGTCAGCGAGCTATGTTTATGAAAGATTATCACGCTTATTCTTGTCATGGCAAGTGTACATCATTACTGATGAGTGCCTATCATTATTCCAATGTCTAACAGCCGAACCATTGTACATCGGACGGAAGAAATACGAAACACGTTAAATCCAAACTGGAAACAAATGGTGCTCCCAACACGAGTTTTGGTCAACGGGGATCACGACCGGTATGTCCTCATTTGGATTAGGTGGATGGTTAAAATATTTTATGCCACCCAAAACTTCACCCTATGCTTTATTTAGCCTCCACGCCATCGGTTCCTAACCTGTTTCTCACTGTGCATCGCGATGTCACTTCCCTGTCTGCCTGTTTGCCTGCTCAACTGACGCAAAAGCCGCTCATTAATAGTAAATAGGAGAAATAAGTCTAAATAGCTTATCTAGTTGGAGTGCTCGAATAAATGAGCAGCGGTAGTTTTTCTGATTTCCAGCTCTTTGTGTCTTCTCGGAAAGCTTGTGATTGTTTTTTTTTCACGGCGGGTTCGAGGAAGCACAGGATTAACTGATGGGATACGAGGTGTCTCATTTCATCCTTCAATTTGCCTCATCTCTTAATTCATCTCTCTAGCTGATTTCACGGACCTGACTGACACAAACTAAAGCAATGCTTGGGTGTGCACCACTGTCACGCTATGGTTAGTTTCAAACTTAAAGAGATGAACGTTTACCTTTCGTTTTCCGAAAAAAGAGAAACAATCTGTAGATTCATTCCTAGGTAACGTTTTAATTTTGACACAAAAGCATCTTCAGGCCAATTAAATAGTTTATGAGGTTGGTTGAGATTTAAAGCGGAAGCAGAACCAATCAGCTAAGTCAGAATTAACCCGTGTGAGTTGCTGGCCAAGGGATTTTGTTTTTCATTGTGGATCAGCAAAACCGATGAGGAACTTACATGGGTTTGGGTCTAGCTTAGGGCCCAGTGTTTACGGTTTGATTCACGTGAAGATTCCTCTTGAATGCTGTTTGCACCGTTTGTCCGCCTGTGTGGGTAATTCAGTGCTACGATAGTTATTCGAGGAACTATTTGGAGGTGGCTAGTTGAGTAAATCAAGGGGAATAAAATAGTAGTTGAAGCTACTAGGACCGCCTGGATTCGTTTCACGGCTGACGCCTGTGATGATGCTATGAACAATTCAATACTCTATGGGCTCTCTGCGGCGCGCACTTCAGGGATGGTAGAAGTATCGGTGCCAAATGTTTGGTTCATGTGCTTTTTTTGGAAGAATTTTCATACAGTGTCTGGAGCATTCTTAAAAGCGTTCGACAGTTATCCAACCTACCGCTTCGTTTGTCCCCGACCACCGGTAACACGAAACAGAGCTCGAGATGGTCTAACGGTTAAGGTTCGAAACTATTGGCCGGAGGGTCTGTGGTTCAAACCCAGTTCTGTCCATTTCGGGGACCTACGAATGTCTCGACCCTCATACTACTATTAAGGTTGCATGACAGTTATAAACTGAGAGTGCTCCGCTGCTCTACGAAACTAGGGTGAAACTCCAAGCCAACCTGCTTATCCAACGAATCCACATGTACAAACTGTCAGAGTTTGTTGGGCTCAGAGTTACCAGCAAGGTTTACTTCAGAGTACTTCCTGAAATCAAAGACTTTACTATGAGTCATTAGGGCGCTGGTATAACGACCACGATCTTTTAGCTAGATCTCTTTCCATCTTCAGGATCGGTTTTCACCCGAAATGAGGATGGATTGATACCTAGTCTGAGGTGTGATGCAACCATTTTCAATACTTGAAACTATTCAAAAAAAGATTTTCTTGGATGCATTAGGGTTGCTAGCCTAAATTTCTTAAACTGAAGTAAGATTTCCCGAAAAATCCGACAACGAGATGGAGGAATTGCAGCGCTGTGTGTAGTTGGTCTTGCTTTCAGCCGTTTCAGACAAATGAGTTTCGAATGCAGTGTTTTATTCGTTCTCTTCGTAAACTGTTTGCTAAGCAAATGTCGGTGGATGCCGGGGATTAAACTTAGCATTTCCTTAATTTGTGCTTATAAACCCCAGTGTATTATTCCAAACATAAGTCTCATCATGCTCACTTCAGAGTCAATTCAATCAACACACGTGAGATATTTGGCCATAGGCGCCCAACAAGTGACCGTGCTTTAATGGGTTTATATTGATTTCTGCCGCGCTCTCGGTCCCTTTTGCCTATCAGTTCACAGTACGGGACCTTCCAATGTGGTGCCTTTTGTTTCTGCGTTAAGGGCTTTGTGGCCACAAATAAATGCTGGCTGGCGCGGGATATAATAAAAAAATCTTTCTAAGTTCCCGTTATTATTATCCATCTTACATTAAAATTTGTCTGTCTCTGCAACTGATACCCGACAGTTACATATTTTCAATGTTTTACCTACCAGGCACCATAGAGATGAAAGTGACAGTCAAACTGTCTAAATTAAGCCGACTCCTAAGATGGTGCAACGTGTCTGGTGGGCGCAATTTGACCACACTTAGGTTTCATAACAGGGGCAAATAAGCCTAACTTGCTTACACAACTCACCGCGTGGGGTGATCTGTGGCCGAATACTGTTAACGTAGGAAAGTTTTGTTGAAAACTGCTGTATCTTTACTCGTGGCGAAACGCCATTGGATCCAAAGGAGGTTTAATTATGGTTGACGAAAAAAAAACAAAGTAATCGGTAAGAGATTTTCACCGATGTTGAACACGCAGTAAAAAGCGTATTTTCGGCTGTCAAGATGATTTTTCTGGTATAACAGTTTGAAGCAACAGCTTCGAAGAAAGCATGCCTTTGAGACCACAGGCAGTGGTTGACAGAAGTGGTTTTCATTTTTCAAAATCGGATAAACTAACCAGAGGTCTCCTGTCAGTCTTTGACGCTTCGTGAAAAACAAATTGAGGGTCATGATTCCGGATCAGCAATTCAAGCCGTTTAGATCCCTGGCAAACTTAGTAACTTCTCTGTGTGGTTGTTCCAATTTTATTGTAATCTCCGTTTAACCATGGGCTACAGACTAAAACCGCGTATCTTAACTGAAACCTGATATGCCCCTAACAATGGGGAAATGGATCTGTCGAAGATTCCAAACAGCCCTCCGAGGAGATCCAACTGAACACTGGGTTCGGTTTTTAAAGCGCCTGCGATCACCCTATGCACTTGACCGACAAATACAAATGACCAACCCTCATCTGGCTGAGTGCTTTCCAAAATCATCTGTTGGTTCGTATTTATCAGATGCCTGAGGTTTCAATTTCTAAATATCGGGCGGGAGAATTTACAGTTTCATTTCTAGCCTAAGACACAAGGGTACATTGTTCACTGCCTCAACTGTAGGGGCATATTAATAACTTAAATCATTAGTTCTTTGTGAATATAAACTTTGAACTCGAGGGCTTATCCGAAGTCCTAAACCTTGTTAATTTTGTGATATGATTGTACGAGGGCAACACGTTGATCAGCTTGCGAAGTTTTAGTGTGAAGATATGATTAGGATAAGTTCTGCACGTGCTTCACTGTCGTTTAATTTGAGGTGAAATGGCTTCACGACAAAAAGCATTCCCAGTTCACGTCACTGCTTACCGTTCTTCGTCGAGGTGTTTGACTTTTGCTCATGTGATGAACAGTTCCATCTGTTTGATTTCCAGGGTGTTTCGAAATAGTTGCTGATACTATGTTCTGATTCTGTTCGAATTTGTAGCCGAAATTCGCTACTGACAGAAAAAATTCTTTGTGAAAAAGTTTAACATGGACTATCAACTGTACATTTTCCCATTTCTTCCTGGCCTGCCAGTTCACACACTGACTACCGCTAACCTCAGTACATTCTTTGTTTTTATCAACTCGCACTCGTCTGGATCGATCGGTTAAATGCGATGTGTGTATGTGTCTGGTTTGGGACAATAGAAGCAAGTGAGCGGTTCAAAATCGTAGTCTGCTCGCTTCGTACCTTTCCAGGACATGTATCCTCTTGCTATCCCTCACCATAGATGGATGCATTTTCGTTACTTGTTTAATCACAGTCTCTTTCAGACTGGGCACAAATACACCCTCCCCTTTTGTTTTGTCTAGTGATTTACGTGCAACCGATTGTCCAAGCATTTTAGCAGGGGTGGATTATTTTCGATTGTTTTTAATTGGCCTGGAAACATCACTATAGCTTGTTTGGCTGATTGTACTGAAAGGTGGCCGTTCTTATTCGACCCACAGGGTGAGGCTTAAGACCTATGAAGTTCTACTCAAAGCAAAGATCATCATGCCGAACGGAGCTGTCACGTTAGTATGTAGAAGTGAAGCACTGCACATCTAATAAATCGCGAAGGTAGATCGAAGCCGCATGACTAGACATTACCGTTGACCTGCGATAATCAGGTGAACAGCGTGACTAACCCACTCTCACTACACGGTGTCGAGCATGCTCATTCTATTCTCACTACTGCCAAAATATTAAAAGTTAATGGAGCAGTCACTGTTCAATAAAAGGGTCTTTTTGGTGGTGTACTATACTTACATAGTCCTGATTTCCAAATGCAAAAGTTAGGTGACTAGTAAAAACACATCCTCAGTCTGAACCCCCGTTTCAGCAATAGTAAAAAAAATCGTTTAGCTGTAACACCCCTCCGGTGCCTAGTTGCCATGCCGCCCGAGGGAAGCACGAGGGCTGGGATACTGCCAGGTTGTCCAAGCGTAGACAGGAGAAGTCGACAGCCAGAGGTCGGCTTCGAACCTCGGATCTTTTGGTCAGTAAATTCGCGTCCCAAGCACTTGAGCAATCTCGCCCTTCAGAAATAGTATTGTCTGGTGTGGCATTCATGGCGAAAATGCAGCGAAGTTAGTTGGTTTGGTCGAGTGACGTAGGCTGGACGAACTACGTTCTTTTTCCAGAGTTTCGGTTGGCACAAAATTCTGTGATAGGTCCAAAACAAATGCCTAGTTCTCTAGAGGTAAGTGAGTGCGCTGTTTTTTTCATCCGTTTTATCCGGCCAAGCCACCTCCTTTGTGGTTCCGCATAACTGTCATATTGCCCCTCAGTTAGAGTGGAAATCGTCACGTAAAAAGCGGGTTCTGTTTTTAGCGAAATACACTCATTTGCAAACTAATTTCTTTTCCAAGGGACTCACCTGAAACCCAGTCGAATCTCTCGTTTGTGATGTTTCCAGGTTCCGTTTTTCCTTTTTTTTGCCTTTGGATCCTCT